AGAGAGGGGAGGGGAAGAGAGGGAAAGAGAAGGGGAGAGAGAGAGAGAGGAATCAGGGATAATTCTAAGGATTTTTTGGTCTGGCTAACAACTAGAATTTCCATTTACTGAGATGTAAAGACTACAGGTGAAGCAGGAGTTGAATGTCCGCAAGAGGGCGCTCGCGGACAGGTCCTGGGTGGCTGAGTCTCTGATACTCTCGGAATAAATGTGGGATCTGTTCCAAGGGAGGAAAGCACTAGAAAAACAAATTGGTTCATTCACCGGAAGTGGTGGTGATACCAAAAGCACTGACGCTGTGAGCAGGATTCGAACCTGCGCGGGGAGACCCCATTGGATTTCGAGTCCAACGCCTTAACCACTCGGCCATCACAGCCGCGTGCGGCCTCGGGCCTGCGCAACTATAGCTGGCTATCAACACGCCCACCACTAGCCGGCACCGCCCCACCGCCCTGAGACGTCAGTGCGCAGGAGCCTCTGCTGTACGGGCCGCACCTCCCTTCATCAACTGTCAGCCGCCTTTTGGGAGCGGCAACTCCAGTTCTCCCACAGTACGGCCTCAACAAAATGGACCCAAATCTGAGTCCAGGCTCCCATACCCTTGAAGGGAGACAAGGAATGCCGCTTCATCTTCGTTCATGAAAGCTGGAGCCAGCCTCCAAATGCACATTAAAAGTGCTCGGTAACGGAAACTCAAATACTAGTGGTTAGGAATGGGCTTGGTAAGAAGAATCTTTCTAAAGGGGCAAGAGAATGGCCTTGTTGAAATGCACCTTCTTCGCAGCAATAATATACTGACTACGTGCATTCTGACTCAGGCACCGCTGGGATTCGAACCCAGGATCTCCTGTTTACTAGACAGGCGCTTTAACCAGCTAAGCCACGGCGCCGGCAGAGGTCCCGCACCAACTAGATAGGGATCAGCTGTTCGTGTGCGCCAGTAACTCAGAAATGACTAATGTAATGGTGGTCGCGGATCCTCAGTGATTCGTCCCTTCCAAGGTTTCCCCTTCCCTTCCCAGGTTCTGAGTCACGGGGTTAACTTCCACCCCTCCGTTTTCCCACACCTCTCGACTACGAATGGGAGCGTGACTCCCCGTCCCGAGCCACCTACACCGGCCTGCTGAAGGGCTTTCTTCTGTGTGGTGACAAAGCAGCTGAACACCCTCAACTTCTTCAGAGCATCACGGGGCTGAGTGGGCCTCCCCCTCCCGCAGGCGCCAGTGACCCATGCTGCAGCCTGCCTAAGCCCTCAGCCACACGTCGCCTCTCATCTCCTTGCCAGACGGAATCAGCTGAGATAATGTTTGGGGTCAGAGTAGGCTTTGAACTAGGTGGAGAGTTAGCAGGCTCAGCAAGGCCTCTGAGCTGAAAAGGGTATGGGGAGAAGGATGTGGGTCCTCAGGGGAGGGAATGACTCACTCTCACTACAACCTTCCAGGAGGCAGGACCACCCCTCCCCACAAAAAGCGCCCCTCAGCCAACCCCCAAACTTCATTCCACAAAGTCCTGGTATTTTTTTTTCTTTTTGTATTAAAAATAGTAACAAGACACAATATCAAAAACACAAATGCCATCGGTAGAGGGTACAGCTGAGAATACCTGGGTCCCACCTGAGGGGCAGCACCAGGGACTCCATGGTCCACCAACCTCCCCCACCCTGGAGCAGCTAGGGGTTTGGACCGCTGGGTCCTGCTTGGGCCTCAATCCCTCCTCCTCCCGTCTGGGGAAGAGGTGGGAGAGAGGGCTGTCTCCCCCAATAAATAAGTGCAGCCCCAACACTTGGGGACAGGGACTCCGGCTCAGCTGGGACTTGGAGAGACCACTTCAGCAGCTTATCAGCAACCTCGTCCAAGGGAAGGAAGGACTCCTCACCAGGGATGGGAAGTGAGGCTTCGCTGGGCTAGGCTGGGCTTGGCTGAAGAGTTCCACTCTCTGTTCCCTAAGAGGCCGGAGGCAGCCTCTGGATCCCGGGCTGGTGATGGGGGTCCTGCCCCCTACAGCAGGAGAAGTTGGGGCAGTTTTCTATTGGTTGGTCCAGCCACATCTGAGTTCTGAGAATTGGGACATGGAAGAAGGAAACTTCTCATGCACTCCCAGAGCGGCCCCAAAATATAGTCTAGCTGGTGCCATTTTCTATGGCAAGTAAGGCTGGACTGGATGAGCTCCCACCTTGTTCCTCTTCCTCCATGGCCAGGTCCTGAGAGCTCGAGACCCTGGCCCCAGTTTGGGCCAGGGTCTCATCTCCACCCTCACCCTCACCACTACCACCCTCGCCTCCACCCTCCTCCATGGGCTCCAGCCCCAGTCCATCCATTTCTGAGAAGAGTGGGTCATCAGGGTGGCCAGGGTCTTGGGTGCTACTACCGCAGTCCACACAGGCCTCGGAGGAAGAAAGAGGATGAGGAAATCAGGCAGGGTTCTCACTGTTGACCTGCTACCCCAACTCCCCTTGTTCCCCAGCCCAAGAATACTTCTGAAGTACTCCCAAGAAACACGAGTCCACGTGGAGGTACATGGGGTCAACAAGACTGGAAAACGCATTGTACCCTGTATCCAGACCCCAGGCTGTATGGGACAGTCACAATGTACATAAGCACAGAATTGGCCCAGAAAAGGTCTACAAAAGCTCACGTGGTTTAACATTGTATAACCTAGCAGGAAACCTAGAATTAACATCCTTCAGAATTAATGACCCAGGGAACAGTGAGGGGATCAGCCCTTAGCCTCTGTCCTTTCAACTTGAGCTCAATTCTTTCTTCTCCCTTCTAGCCCAAGATTTATCCTCTCACCATCACATCAAGGGCCCGAGGCAGCTGGCCCTTCCGGACCCAGGAGTGCACAGCACCCAGTTCCCTCCGCTGGTCCTCCGAGAACCGAGGCTGCTGCTTCTGCATGGCCCGGAGACGCTCCCGATCCTGCTTCAGCACAGAGGCTACGTCCCTGCTCCAGGAAGGGGTTTGGAAGGAAGAGAATGGGAGCTGGGGCCAGAGCCCACAAGGATGGTATGTTTCCCCCATTCCAACTCCCTACCCACTGTCTCATGTTCCTCCCCTGAACAAGTGCTCTGGGAGCTCAGGCCTTCCAAGACCAGGAAAGCTGCCTTCAGCCTCAGAAGGACTAATGATGGGCCTCCAAGGGGCGGGGGATAGAACAAGAAAACCCCAGGGCAGAGCCACATCCAGAAAGAAAACCTCAAGTTAGCTGGGGACTGAGGGTAGGCCGGCGTCCCCACTCTTCTGAAAGGGAGGCAGAGCATGTCTCTCAAACTCCTCACCTGGAGGGCACCTGGTAGGTCATCATGACATGCTGGTCAGCATTGGCCATGAGCAGCCAGATGGGATCTTGGAGCACGTACTTAATGACCTGGTCCCCAGGCTCAGCCCTGGCCTGGACAGCCCCAGCCTCCGCCTCGGAAGAATCGATGCTTCCAAAGTATTTGCTTGTGTGGCTGCTCTGACTGCTTCCTGTAGGTAGAGGGTGGGCAGCCAACAGAGTCAGGCCAACCGGCTCCCCACCAAGCCTCCCTCAAGGTTACAGGTCCAGCCCACTGGGCTTAGGAAGCAGGGCATGGGCCAAGGCTGCTCAGCTAACGTGGGGCCTGGCCTCCCAACTCCCTAGTCCTGTCCTACCCTGGGAAGGGGTGGAGTGGTGAGTACTCACGTGTGATGCTAGCTGAGGTGCTGCCCCCCTCATGGGAGCCTGCCCCAGATCCTGAGCCCAAAGAACCCGAGGCAGCAGAGCCTGTGCCAGAGCGAGAATCCTCCTGCAGCAGCAACTCCAGCAGATCGCTGGAGCCAGAGAGTGCATCCTGGTTGGAGGACTCAGTTACCTCCACCTGGAGGAGGGGAAGGAGGGGAGGAGGAAGGGGGGACAGGGAGGGATTAAGGGATCAACACTGAGGCTTCCCTTCAGCTGCTTCCACTGGTTGGGGCACCCAACCCAAGTGGTCTCTTCCCACTCCATGACAGTGGGGCCAAGATGAGTGAGAAGAGAGCTGGCGAAGAGTAGGGATGTGATGCTGGACCCTTTCCAAGTGGCAGACGCGCTCTCAGAAGTTATTGGGATGTCCTCGCCACCTGTCAGACAGACAGGACTGTCCCCACTTCACAGATGAGGCAGCGGATTTCTGCCTCCTCCAGAAATTCAGCTGGGGTCTCCCACCCCATGACACCATCCTCTGGAGACACCAGACAGGTGGGGGTGGGAAGAAGTGCAAAGGCAGGAGCAAGGGTAGGGAGGGCCACGTGGGGGTGGGAAGAGCATGGGGAGGGGTCAGTGCTCACCAGTCTGGCGTCTGGCTCAGCAGCCTCCTCACTGGGAGGCGGAGGCCCAGCACTGCTCCCAGGGCCCCCTGTGACAGCACCCCCCTCAACACGGGGGGGCTCCTCAAGCTGCAGCAGATTTAGCTGGAGCGGGGAGCTACACCTCGAGTTGAAGAGTGGAGAGTCCGGGCGGTGGGGAGGGCTGGGCGGCAGTGCAGGCAGGGGTGGAGAAGGGGAGTGGGAGGCAGAAGTGAGAGGCCCCTCGGCGGGGGCTGGGGGTACCCCATAGGGATAGCTGGATGGGGTAGGGAACAGATAGTTAGGGAGCACCAAGGCCACCATTGGGGTCACCAGAGGGGCAGGGAAAGCTGCAGGAGGCACAGAGGTGGGGGCAGGAGGAAGAGACTGGGGGCCTCCTCTGGGGGAGAACACTGGGAGGGAGTAGGGCTGGACCACAGCTGGGAAGGGTGTGGTGGTCGGTGGTGGGGGCCAAGGGGCAGAAGGTGGCACAGGAGAGGGGTGGGAAACATAGCAGGGGGCTTCAGCCCTGGGGGTCTGGTGGTGGCGTGAGCGCTTGGCTTTGGATCGGCAGTGGTGTCGGCGGCCAGGGGGTGCAGGGCCATGATGGCAGCCTGTGGGGAGAGACTAGGGTTAGCAAGGACCTTAACCTGGGGTCAGTGTCCCTGCCAGGACCACTGCTCTGCCACTCTGATCAGGGAGCCAAGGAGAGGGCAGGTGAAGGCCCTACAGAGAGTCTGGCTCCAGGCCCACACATAACAGAGAAGACTGAGGGGAGGCGGGGGAAACCTTCAGGAAAGAATCACAGGCGGCAGAGATGGGGGATTTATTGACAAAGAAACTGGGGAAAGGAAAGGTTACATGAGGGGTCATGCTGGGGGTGTGCAGAAGACAGAGGCATGCTGGCAGACAGGAGGAGGCAGGGTAGGTCCTTGGATGAAAAGGCAGGTGGCTCCTGTCCATCCGCCAGACTCCCACAGGCACTGCCAGCCTGGGCGATCCTCCTGCTAGTCGGGGCGTGCTCTGCCTCGCTCAAGATGGAGCGAAGAGGTGGGCAGGAAAAACCAATCCTGAGTCCCGTGTCCGCCTGCAGGAGGCCTCCCTCAGGCACCTGGAGGGCTGCCATCCGCCCTTGAAGCCCTGACCCCACCCGGAGTTGTCCCAGCCCTCCTTGCCACACAGATCTCTTAATCAATGACACAGAGTCCTGAGTGAGCACACTTCCTGCCCCTGCCCCCGGGCTGGACCTGGAGTGGCTGACCTGGAGCAGAGCACCCTCGCCTGCCTGGCTCAGTGCCAGCCCCCAGGCTGCCCTCCGCTGGCTGCAGCCTGGACCGCAGCCGAGTGGAGAGAGGACCTGTCCCTAGGCAGGCTCAGGGAGTGCTGGGTGGCTGCCTCACTCACCAGGGGCGGAGGGAGTCGTGGAGGAGCCCTCGAGTCCACGCAGCCTGCTGAGGTCACGGAAGCGGCTGAGGAAGGCCTGCTCCTCCTTCTGCGTGTGCAGGGACAGCACAGCCTTGGTCAGGCCCACCGGGCGGTAGGCGTCTGGGGCTGGGTCTGGGGCTACCATGGGGCTGGGGGCTGGGCTGGGGGCTGGGCTGGGAGCTGGGCCTGGAGGCAGGCCAGGCAGGTCTTCCATCATGATGATGTCTGAGAAAGATAAAAGGAGGAACAGATCAGAATCACCTCAGGGTTAACACAGCTACACCACACCTTCCACATCCAACAGCTTAGCCAAACCCCTGGCCTCTGCCCCACAGCCAAGCCTGGGCCTCATGTGCGTCTCCTGGCGGCCTGCCCACCAAGGACTGGCTCTGAGCCCTCTTCTCCATGTGAAGCTGTTTCAGGATAAGAAATGGTACTCAGGTCCCTCCCGTGGCACAGCTCTAGGACGACACCCCCATGACTCTCCCTGGAAGGGAAGCCCACCCCTCGCCTTTCCCTCACTCATTTTCCAGGTCAAGGCCCAAAGACCCTTCAGTGATTTTCAACAGTGCCACCTTCGGACCCTCTGTGGTCAGCACCTCAAGGTTGAAACCTGCACCCCAGGCTTTGTGTGAACTGACAGAATACAGGAAGCAGGATGGGGACAGACAAACTGGCAAAGGCTGGCAGGCGGGGTGGAGAGCAAGAAGTGGCAGCCCAGAGCTAAGACAGAGGCCTCCTCCTCTCTGTTAGGGGACAGAGGGCGGGAAGGCAGGCGGGAGGGAGCTCTGGCTGCGGGACCCAGTGGGGCCCGGGCACTGCCCCCTCAGCCACACCCATACCCGACTCCGGGGGCTTCTTGTCTCCCACATGGACGATGGTGGAGCTGAAGCTACACTGACTGGTGACAGACACCACACTCTCCGCCTTATTGGCCAGGGCGAGCGGGCTCAGGGTGCCTCCCACCACCGGCTCCTTCCGAGGGGCGGCCCCCTCCCCAGACAGCACTGCCGATGGATCTGTGCAGAGAAACGGCGCCAGTTACCCCACTGGGAGGCTGGGAGAGGAAACCCGCGAAGGGCTGGGGTCGGACTGATGGTAGAGAGGAGTCTGAAGATCTGAGGCTGGGAGGAGGCAGGGCAGAGTGGAGTGGAGCCCAAAGGCAGGAGTGTAGAGACACAGGGCCAGAGTGCGAGGACCGCAAATGAGTGCCTTCACCTTTCTTGGTCCCCACAGAGACAGGGCTTGGTCTCTGCTTGTCGTCATCGGAGGCTGAAGAGGTGGTGCAGGAGGAGGAGGAGGCACATTTGCGCTTGGTCGTGCTGGGGATGTTGCAGCTTTCCAGGTACCTGGAGAAGCACCGGAGAACGTGAGGGCAAGGCCTGGGTGGGGCGGGGCCAGGGCCCAAGTAGGAGGAGAAGCCAGGATGGCCGTACCTGAGGATGCTGTCCAGGCAGTTGATCTGCTGGTAGGAGCAACTGGAGGCTTCTTTCCTCTCAGCCTCCTCAGGGGCCAAGGCTAGTGGGGCCTGGACTGGAGCAGGGGCCACCTCCAACTCTGGGTCTGAGGCTTGGCAAGGAAGGGTCTTAGCCTTGAATGTACCTGTAGCTGGGCCAAGGGGAGAAAAGCTCCCCTGGGTTGGGGTGAAGGTCAGGGGACCCCCAGGTCTCCTCACCCACACCGCCACCAACTCACCAGGGATGCGGGGCCGGGGCAGAGGCCTGGCCCGGGACTCAATAAAAACCTGCTGCCCCTGATGCTTCACCAGATGCACATCCTTACAGATCTGCTGGAACGTCACCTGTGGGACAGAGCAAGGCAGTGGGCAGCACAGGGGTGCCTGGCCGGGCTCAGGGCACAGTGCAATGAAAACGCCCCAGTGGGGATGCATGGAGGTCACGATGTGAGCGGGACAAGAAGGAAAAGGTGGACGAGGCAGGGCTCCTATAGGATTGGCAATGCTGATTCTGAGGATCAGGGAACAGGAGGTTAGAGGGGTGAGGTGGGAGAGGGACACTCACCGGGGCAGGAGGCCCAGGTCCCTCAGCATCATCTCCATTGGTGTCACTGGAGGAGCCAGGGCTGAGGAAAGGGCCTGGGGAAGTCACAGGGCCGACTCCACAGAGCCCCATGGGGCTGGGGCTGTGCACAGGCTGAGGCAGGGAGAGCAACAGGTTAGCTGTCTACCACCCTGGTCCCTACCCTTCCTCATCTCC